ACGCTCGATTTGTTGGCCATTAATTTGTCGCCGGAAAAGTTGATTCCTCCACTGTTGCAATTGCTTGAGCCGGCATTGCAAAGCCCTGATCCTCTGCGACGCCGTGCCGCCTATCTTTGCATCGCTGTTATCGCTGAAGGCTGCTCGGAGGCCATTTGCAATAAGTATTTGGAAGTTATGCTGAACATCGTTAAGAGCGGCATTGCTGACAACTCGCCCATTGTGCGCATTGCTAGCTTCTTTGCTTTGGGTCAATTCTCGGAGCATCTGCAGCCGGAGATATCGAGATTTGCACCTCAGATTTTACCTGTATTATTTGATTTTCTGCAGCAGCTGGTGATTGAGATAAAGGTAAACTGCTTACACGCTACAATTTCATGTCTATTTACATTATAATTATCTTATTTTGTTTGTTCTGCATCAAAAAAGGCTGAGCAAACCAGCAGCGGCAATGAGTCGAATGCCCTGCCCGGCAAAGATACCATTCTGTATATAAATCAACTGCAAATCAAACGCAAATCAGTTCTCTCCAAATACAGGGTGCCATTTTCCTGCTAAATTTGTAGTAGCTATTTTTTCACACATCACTTCTTATTGTATTAATGTTGTTTTCTGCGGTAGCAATCATATATACCCTTGCGGAGGTTATTATAAATGCAATATAGAAGTATAAACCATAACATTCTTCATCCGTCTGTCTGGTTAATGTATTTTATTTTATTTTTTTTTTTTTTTGAGAAAGCTTGCTTGTATACATGCAAGGGTATTGTTTGTTCGGGAAAGCGATAATATTGTATAGTAAATTGTTGTTGCTCTTATTTTATTTCTTGAGTGTGGTTTCCGCAATTTAAGAAAGGAGAAAAATGTTAAACAATTAAATACTTTGCCATTGTTCTGAATTCATTATATGAAATGTGCTCTAAAGATATTATATATATTTAAGTAAAGTAATTTTAAATGATTATTAATTGAAGGAGCATGAGGTATATGGGAATAAAAAACAAGGGGTTAAGGACAGCACAAATTTTGAAGCATGCTCACTCAACACTTATGGCAGCACAAGTAGACTATATAATCGTGCTTATTTTGTAATATATTTTGTTCCAAAAATTTTACAGAGCGGCAATCCGGAACCGAAGCACACGGATCGTATGTTTTATGCGCTGGAAAACTACTGCCAGAATCTAGAGGAGGACATTGTGCCACATTTGCCGCTATTGATGAGTCGGTAAGAAATGACAAATATTCTATTATACTTCTGAATGTCTTAGAAATAGTTATATACTTGCAGTTTATTCGATACTCTGGATACCAACAATTCGATTCATCTTCGTGTGCTGGGACTGTCTGCTGTTTCAGCAACAGCTTTGGCTGCCAGGGAGCACTTGATGCCATATTTTCCAAAAATCGTGGAAATACTGAAAAATTATTTGGTCAAGGAATGTTCCGAAGAGATGAAAGAGTTGCGCAACGAAGCAATTGATACTTTGGCCTCGATTACACGCGTCGTAGGCAAGGATAATTTTATTCCACTGGCCAATGATACAATGGCCTATTGCTTGATGATGTTGGATGATGGGCCAAATGATCCAGATTTTAGACGTGCCATTTACAATTTGATTGGTGCTCTGTCCATCGTTGTTAAAGAGAGTATGTCGACCGTGTTCCCAAAAATTATTGATCGTCTCATTGAATCGGTTATATCGACGGAAGATATGCTTCCCATAAATGATGAGAATGGTGGTAATCGTTTGTTCAATGGTGAAGCGGCCGCTTCTAATATTGACATTGATTTGGATAATACAGACGATGAAGATGACGATGATGAGGAAGCATATCAGGTAGAAAACGATTATGTGTTTGAAAAGGAGGAAGCTATATTAGCGCTTAAAGAATTGGCTATGAACACAGGCAGCGCCTTTGCACCCTATTTGCAGACATCTTTTGAAAATGTCTACAAGGTGATTGAGCACCAACAGGAGAACATCCGCAAGTCCGCCATTGAAGCCATCGCCGCCTTTGTCTCGTCACTCTACAAAATGGGTGATGCCGAGGGTGTCAAGCGCGCTTGCCTAATAATTATGCCAAAATTTGCACATATGATCCGTGAGGATGAGGATCAGGGCGTCGTCATTCATTTACTCGACATGCTAAGCGATATATTCGTTGAGGTGAAGAGCGCTGCGGTACCCACTCAGGAAATCGGTGACATGATATTTGCTTGCATCAAGGATGTTCTAAATAATAAAATGGCTTGTCAGTTCAACGAGCCATCCGGTGGTGGGGATGAGGAGGAAGCTGAAGACAGCGAATTTGATGAACTGCTTATTGAAAACGCGGGTAATCTTTTACCTTCTTTTGGAAAAGCTTTAACTCCTGAAATATTCTCTATGTACTTTGGTCGCGTCTATCAGTACTACTTAAACAAACTGGTTCGTCAGATATTTTGAAATCTGTGTATGTAAAGATTGATTTAACATACTGTTTGCCTTTCAGAACAAGGCCAAGAGAAATGATTTGAGTGAACAGCGCACATTCGTTTATGGTGCATTGGCTGACTCCTTTCAATCGCTGGGTGTCTGTGTGGCCACCTATTTCGATGAGTTGTGCCCCGTTTTTGTAGATGGCGTAAATGATCCGGAGCCAAAAGCTCGTCAGAATTGTTACTTCGGCCTAGGCGAGCTTGTTTTGCACGCGGAAGAGAAGTCCTTTGAGTAAGTTACATAATTGAAGATATGTATTTAGTTATTGATTTCAATACTTCTTTTTTTTTTTTTTTTTTAGATCCTTCCATGTGATTTTACAAGCTCTTTCTGGAGCGATTGCTTCGGAGACAAATGCTCCGGCTCTCGATAATATTTGCGGCGCCGTTTCCCGTATGATCGTGACCAATCACAATATTGTTCCATTGGCGCAAGTTTTGCCCGTTTTACTCTCGCATTTGCCACTACGCGAGGATATGGATGAGAATGATATGGTGCACAAGGCGTTCCGTGTTCTATACATGCACGCACGACCCGCTATTGTCGAATACATTGAGCAAATCCTTAAAATCACCATAGATGTATTATACAAGGACCAAATACCCGAAGGTGAAATCAAAATGAGCTCGCGTGCTTTAATTTTGGAAATACGCGAGCAGTATCCGGACCAATTCAATAACGTGGCCAATTCCAGTCAAGAGGCCTACAATTTCCTTCAATCTCTTTAGACGCGCACAAAAGCGAATTTATCCACCAGCATATGCCGTCAAGCACACACACGGATGTGTGAAGTCTTATTTACATTTTTTAGCTAATTAGGCTACCACGAGGAGCACAAGATGGAATTTTATGAATGCACTCAACGAAAAAAATTATATATGTTAAATTGGTTTCCTAGCGAAATATGCAGCTTTTTTCAAATTGTTAAAACGCAAACGCGTAAATGTATAAATAGTGAATAGTCTGAAATAAATACACAAAAGATAACCATATCCATCTTAAAGTCTTTCAATTAAATAATCTATAAATAATTCACATATATAAATGAATGTAACCTATACTAGCAAATTAATAAGTGCAAAATTCGATATTTAAACAAATGAATACGCTATATTATTTTGTCGCCTACCAATGCGCATTCCGCTTGATAATGACCTCTCTTACAATATCTGCATGGTTGGCGTGTAATTTGAGGTCCCCGTTAATATCTGTCCAGCGCACATTTGTGGCATCGTCACCGGCTTGCAGTTTCAGCTGACCAACTTTGCTGCCGTCGTCGTCGTGGAAGTTCAGTGCTGTTGTCTCCATCCACGAGTTGTCCGTATTGCGAAAGTCATCAACATAGCCGCTGTAGACATGTTCCCCACTCTGCTTGAAGAACTGCTCGACCATGTTGCCTTTATCATCGAAATTGAGCGCCTCTTCGGTGAACTCGCGTTTCAGTGTGACGCTCACATTCTCTCCCGGATCAACCATGCCACCAGGAATTGCCCACATTTTATTGTCTGAGCGCTGTATAGCTACCATCTGGAGTATATTTCTGTATAAAACGTGTGAGCACAGCTTAGAAATGTTTCCGTCGTCCATTCTTCAGTTTTACTTACTTGCCGCTATTCTCATGACTCAGAACCTCACCGTTTTCATCACGTTTCCAGCGCGTGACTATTGGATCGGCCGCATGATTAGGACCCCAGCGTCCTAATAAGCCACGCCCACACAATCCTGTCCGGCCAATAGGATTTTGTGGCAGACCATTTTTTATCTTGTATTCACCGTGGAATGAGACTCGATTTACCAGGCCATCATTCTGATTCCATTTGATTCCAAGTGGCTGCGGCTCATCTGCCCACGTCTGCCCATTAATGTGCGGCGCAGTATAGCAGGTCGGGCAATACGATTCATAGGGAACATTCCAAAAAACCAAATTATCTGGCACCGAGAAACGCGTTACATTACTGCGTGGATATACATTGTTCCGACACATGATGTGTCGAAATATACCAGGCTTCACAATGGATGCTAGCATAGCCTTAGTAGCAAGGATGTGTGAGAATCGCAGACAAATTGATATAGCTATAAGTAAATGCAATCTGCTGGTCATTGGGTTCAGCGAGCGCACACTCAAAGGAAACTGAATAAGAATTTTCAGCTGCTTGTCAGGGTTGTCATGTATTGAAAAAAAAAAAAAAACGAAAAAAACAAATACACAACTGCAAAGTTTACATTTTCTGACTGAAGTCAGAACTTATAAATCGACTTATAAAATACAATGCGATCCAAATTCATTGCAAATTAAAAGCTGTACTGTACCGTATACATAGTTAAGCCACTAACCATAGAACTTCTATGGTTGGTGGTTAAGCGCAGCTTATGTTCATGTTTATGTTTCGCTTTTGTGCAAAGCATATTTAACAAGGCTGCTATTGTAGACTTTAGTTTTATTTATAGAGTTACAACAAATTTAAGTCGAACGTAATATGTGAATGCAGTTCTTTTATTATCCTTGACCTTAGTGTTTTTAATCCTTGCGCAATTGAAGCTCTCGCTTCTCAATGCCATCCGCAGTAATGATATTTATCAGCACCGAGTCTCCAGTATATATATCACGTTCAGCGGCCGAGATGAATGTATCAGAAGCAACTGCAACCGCACGTTCCTTAGTGAGTGGCGGCAGCTGATCAAGGGACAAGTTTTGGTTCTTATAACCGATCTGGTTATCTAGCACTGGCTGCAGCAAGGCTCCAGCAGAGCCGCCAGCACGATAGGTCGCGCGTTCACAATGTCCAATGGGATCATATGAATAGACAGCGCCCTTTCCATCTTTATCCAAACCAGCTAAGATATTAGACACATAGTAAGGGAAGAAGCGACGGTTATACATGACAATGGAAAGCATTTGTGCCACTGCATCAGTCGTCATTGTCTTCAAGTGAGTGTGCTCATACATTTGCATACGAACTTTAACCAGACCCGTCAGAGAAAGGGTATCGCACCAGCAGCCAGTGGAGCCCAAAACTGTTTTTGGTGACATTTCGAAAAGTTTGCTCTGGTCACGAGAGTGGATGCTATACCCACTGCTCAGACGTGTATCTGCGGCAATAACCACGAAGTCATCTCCGGCTATGGCAACAATAGAGCTGACAATTAAAAATATATTTAATGTTGCTGGTGTCTCCACCAATTACGTCTTTTGAGCACTCACCCGCCATTTGACTCGTAGGGAGAAAAATCTACATGCTGCACTCCGGGCACTTTATAATCCGGGAATTGTTCTATGCCAAAACTATTCATATTTTTTTTTTTCTAGCCTTTATTAATTTTTCAAGACGAAAAGCAACCCGAAATGATTTGCAAGTTTCTGTCTAGCGGCGTTTCACTCACTTAGAGATGTGCAAGGAAAATCGACTTATCGATTTTAATAAACCAACGCGGCGTGAATGCCATTTCTAGCTATATATATCGATATTTTTTCTATTTGAATTGATAATAAAATATGGCTTTTATTTCAACAATTTTTAATCTTTGGGCGTAAAAGTTTCACATAATAACTTTTACTGTGCTAATGCTGGCACACCAACTATACGCTCCCTATGCAATTTACCACGATTCTGCTGCACGAGCTCCTTGACATCGTAAAACCATTTACCTGTAATGAAATAAATTTGCATTAAGAATTTTTTATATTTTTTAAAGAGCTTTGTTACCAATGTTTGTATTTTGTAAGCAGTCCTTGAATGTTTGGCAACCTTCCATACTGCTGAGTACGCCAAACACTGAAAGATCCGCAAGACCCGGTTTTTTGCCGCCCATAAACTTAGTATTTTGCTTTTTAAGATCCGCCGTCCACTTGTTTAGAGCGTCATACATATGGGAGCGGACATCATCGGTGAGCTGGTGTCTTCGCTTCAATATCTTAGCTATTACCCACATTGCTGTCGCTCCGCAATAAACCATCAAATCACGCTCCCATTTAGGAAAATGGATATCCCATTCGCCGGCCAATGCGAACCACTCAAAAGTCTCCAGTGCCTCGTCAAAGGTCTGGTAACAATTGGGGGATATAAGATGTACTAGATGATTATCTGCCCAGGTACGCCACTTGCGTTCGGTTCTGCAAAAAGATCCCTATTTATAATAGAGTAATTGGGAGACGCAATTAAAAACTCACTCTTCGATTTCTCTGGTCATATTTTTGGGTGTGCGATCCTGGTACATTAGAAAGTATTTGTTCAATATGTCTTGACGCTTTTTGCCATCATCATCGAAGTAGGAAATCTGTGGATAGAACTGCGCAAGCTCACCCACGTCGATGCGCTTGTCGTGGAGGCTGGAAGCGACAAGGGAAATAATGGCGCTGGAATCCGTCATTTGGACATATTTGCCATCCTGCTGGCGAATCAGTACCATTGGCACCTTCTTAACATCTGACCATCGGATATCCTGTCGAAGAACCGCATCGACTTCCACAACAGAATAGGAGATACCCATGTAATCCAGATACGCACGTACTTTACAACAGAATGGACATGTCTGATATTGAAATAGCACTATGTCTAGGCCGGAGGTGTCGTTGGGATTTATGAAACGCTTTGTGATGCGCACGTCCGCTGGGAAATATTCTATGACTTTCGGTGGCGTTCGCTCGTGCTCTTTGTGCGAATTCTTGTCACATATTCGTGTGTACAGCGTATATGTAGATCCAGCGACAGCGCCAATGCATGCACCCAATAACGTCAACTTAAACGTGCCATTCGGTGACTTTTTAGTTGAGCTTCCACTTTCCACTTCCTTCAAGGCCTTCGAAAAATTGCAGCGAGCAATCGTAAATTCACTTGATTTATTGACTACAAATCGAAGATTTTGACTGTTAAAGGATTGCGAACGGGTGGCGCTAAGTGCGGTTAGTAAGCGAAAACTCAACATAATTATGATATCTACTAAATACTTAAATAATAAAAACGAATTATGCAAAAATCGATTGAATTCATCAACCGCAAACGCAGAAAAATTCTTGCTTCTTTTTCTATTTATGACAGTCAGTCAGCTGTTCTTTGTACTCATCACCCTGTGGACCACATACACAAAACTATAAACAAAATCAACAGATGTTGCAAATAGTTTCCATATATAAAACATTTTGATATTATTAAAGGATTAAGAGAGACCACTATACAAAATAAAGGGAAATATAGAGATAACCAAAATTTGTTAAGCTTATTAAATTGAGCGGCTTTTGGGAAATGTGCGCTTCTTCTTATATTTATGGCAGTAGTCACACAGCTGTTTATGGACTAATCACCCTGTACACCGCATACACAAACTACATTTTGCGAACAAAAAATGACTGCTGACAATATTGGCGTAACTACAGCTACTCTGGACAAATATGGAGAAGAAGACTTTATTGCCGTGCTAGTACGCTATGGGCTCTTTGTGGGAGCCATATTTCAATTCGTTTGCATATCCGCTGCGGTGCTAATGAGTGGCAACGATTCACAGGACACAATTGAGGAAGAGGCACGCCTTATCGATGAGCCAGCGCAAGGCACCGGTAATGCGGCCCGCCGTCTACACAAAATACGGAAGCTTGAGAAAAAAAAGCGACGTTAGGAGCACCTAATTGGGCCGTAATATATTTTTAAAATATTCTTTAATAGTCTTAATTGTGTGTATTTATAATAAAACTAATTTATTTGGATGTACGTAAACCAGCTCGTTATTAGGGAGTTTTAATGCTGTTTCCGGTTTTAAGTCAAAGTAAAGCCCAAGAGTCGCGCCCACACTAATATTTGCTGCCATGATGGGTGAGATTATAACGTTAAATTTTCCTTTATCCTGTTCACCATATTCTGGCTTAACTTGTGCCATTTTCACACCAAAGGATTCGAATAGGTGCAGCACTTGCACGCGTTGTCCTGAGCTTATGCCCAGACGCTGATTTTGAGCCAAGCTGCGGCGATCCATGCACTCCTTCAGCAGCACCCTCTTGTATTCATATAGATATCCACCTTTAATGCAACGCTGTTTCTTTTGGGCAATTTTTGGTGACGTTTGCTCCTTCTCTACCATCCTTCCCAAATTTGCCTCTAAGGAAATGATTGGCGTGCAATCCAAGAGTGAATTATTCATAGTTTCTTGATTAGGTTTTGATGGTGTTACTGTTTCACCAAAGCTATGCGAGAAGACTACGGATGCTTCAGTGGAGCAATTGGATACATCATGCGTTGGCATGGTTTGAGACTGAGATTTAGATGTGATGGAGACCGATAACGGCCGATACCTATTGTGTTCTATTAATCTTAGAGGCTTGGAATCACTATTGTATCTGTTTAGATTTGATAGGCTCATCCGATTCTCCTCCTCTAATTTATCTTTATGGAGCTCATCGCTGCTTGTGTCGGAAATCTGTAACTCAATGGGATTTTCTCTCTTCTGGTGAGAATATTTATAAGACACAATGGATTTCTTTCTTTGCAGATTTACAGATGCCTCTTCGGCTACTGGAGTACAATCCAAGATCGATTTATTTATAGCTTTTTCGTTACGGTTTATTGCTGTTAATGTTTGCCGAAAACTATTGTAGGCAGCACGACATGCTGCTGGGCATATTGATGATGATGGAGTGGAACAGTTGGAAGGATCAAACATATTTGGTGGCTTAGTTTGGGATGGAGATTTGGCTGTTATGGACACTGATAACGGCTGGTAACTATTGTGTTGAACCAGTTTAAGTGAATTGGGATCGGTACTAAATTTCTTAAGATTTGGCAGCCACTTGCGATTTTCCTCTCCTAAGTCATCTTTGTGGAGTTCATCGCTGCTTGTCTCGGAAATGTATATCGCGACGGGTTGTTTTCGCTTCTGTCTTACATATTTCTTAGCCACAAATGATGTATTACTATTCACATTTGACTCGCTGGAGCTGCTGCTGCTGTAGGCTTCTGCGTTTGCTCGACTTGTTAATTTGCGAAATCTCTTATGCATAGTATAAAGCACAATTGGCTAAATATTGATATAGGCGCTGAAATTTGAAGACAGCTGATCTACACCAGGGCTGAACAAAACTTTGCTTGCGATGAAAATATTCAATAATTCCATATTAAATCGATAGTTTTCATAGACAATCCCAAATTTGAGATGGCCTTTAAATATTTATAACTTCCACAACTATTAGCATACGTAGATAAGTAACAGTATCTAGCAGTGTAGCCCGGCCTAACTAGCACATGACACAGTAGCCTTGACCGTCTGTCCCCCTCTTAATTTACCCATTTTCCAATCAGAATGACACAATACATTTTTTGGCTGTTATCTTTAATTTTGGGAATAATATAAATTATAATAATCATATATTTATTACGCTGTTCGTAATGTTGTTGTTTTACTTCCCTTTTTACTATGTACGTATGGATGTTAAGTGTGTGTGTCGGTGTGTGCATTGGAGTGGAGTGTTTTTTGAATGCTGTTTGTTAATTATAACTATAATTATTATGCAGTATTCTGAATGAAGTTTTTACGTGAAATTACAATTGATTTTGTTTTCTTTCATACAAATTTAAAAATAATAAGTTACCGTAATAGTTCATTTCGGCGCACATTTGAAATGTTTAATGTCTAAATTGTAAGTCAAAACTCATATATTATCTTCATTGTCCTGGTTATAACGTTTCAAAAACGCTTCAATTTCAATACAACTATTTAAATAGCAAGAGTTTCACAAAAAAGGAGGAAGTAAAAATAATAAACTGTTTTTACGAAAAGTAGTAGTAACAGTAAATAGGTAGAGGTGTACATACATAGGGTCTATATACGTCTACAAGCGCACGAGGATCTCGAACTGGAACTGGAACAACAACAAACCGAACTCTGAACAATTTTTAAAAGCGAGCTAGACGGAAGCTGGAGTGAATATATTATATTCTCAGTGATGGAAAAAAAATTAAGTTAGTGTATTTTGGTGTGTGTGTATGTATGTGTGAGAGTGTTTCCATTTTTTGTTTTTCATTTTTAGTTAAATTCGCGATATGATGCGGCTGCATTTACTCCTTTACGCTATTACATACAATATATTGTTTTACTTGCTGTTACTACTTATGTATTCTGCTTTATCGTTATTTATCGTTATCATTTTGTTTGCTTTGTCTAAATTATTGTTTAGTTACTCACAAGTGCTGTCGTCATCGGTCATCGGTCATCGTCATCGTCGTTGTCTTCGTCTCTTCTGTGTGTATTGCAATTGCTTATGCATTTGCATTTTGTTATGGATAACCCACGCCCTGCACACACATGCTATATTTATGTTTACGTCCGTTGTCTGTTGTTGTCCTCCTGCTTTCGTCTTCGCTATCGTCATCCTGCCATACAGCCAAGGCCAAAATGTTCTTGTTCTCGTTCTCTTTCGACTTCTCGTTATAGCTGCCCACTAAGCCTCGGGCAGCGGTTTCAGCTCCCTTATCTGCTTAATCAGATAAGCCTTCTCATCGTTAAACTGCTCATCCTCCGATCGATCCGTATGGAAGCTGGTTAAGAAGTCGACCAGTTTCGTTTGATTGCGCAGCAGGATATCCAAAATCGGCTTCGGTTTATTTGGATTCGCGACAAAAACTTTGAAGACATGAAACGCCTCGAATTGTATGTTGCGCGATCTCTCCTTCAGCATGTTCATCATTAGCTTCAGGTTCTCTGGTTCTGATATATATCGCGTCATCACGGTGAAGTTATGTCTATCGAGAAGCAGTTCACCGAGCAGCTTCAGACTCTGGCGTCGTGTCACATAATTCTCAGAGTTCAGCAATCGCTGATAATGCTGAGCGAAGAACTTATCGTAGTTGGCGTCTAGGAATTCGGCACACAAGAGCTTGTGGCGTGTCAGCAGCTCTTTGAACGTGGAGAAGGCATCGGAGGCGATGTCAAACGTTGATACTTCCACATACCGAAAGAACTTGAAAAACTCATCCGAATGCAGCATGATCTTTGCTAGCGCCTCATAGCGGGCGCATTCTCGTAGCATTGTTCCCGAATTGAGGGCTATCTCCGGATGTGCATCCTCATAACCGGCCATCAATGTAAATAGAATTTCTGGCTTCGTGCATATGTATTCCACTGTGGGCGAGCGGGTACCTATCTGACGGCGCAGCACATTATTGAAAATGAGCGCCACATGTTTCTTACCCTCGAAATCGATGCGATGCAAGTTCTGTATTAGCAGTAAGAGTAAGTTACTATTATACAGCTCCTGCGATAGCTGCGCAACTACATAGTCCGCTGGCGGTTCCGCATCGCTGCTGCCGTACAGCATGTTCTTGATCGACACCAGATTTTTGCTAACATCCTCTTGTGCCTTCTCCACTTTGCGGTCCCCTGATTCCAATGCGTTTATTGCCTCCTTCAGCGACTTGACCAATTCAGCTGGCGTTTTCTGTGATTTACCAAAGAGTGGCATTGTAAGAGCTGCTGGTTGCTGTTGCTGCTTCTGCTGGATGAATTTCCTCTTCTTGTTGYTGCTGCTGCTGCTGTTGTTATCGCAATTGGTTTACTGCTAGTCGTTCTGGATTACTGCTGATTTGTTATTCAATTACCGGTTTGCAGACACAAACAATGCTTGGTTATATATCACAGTATAAATAATATTCTATTATTATATATTATTTCGTCTTTTTTCCTCTTTCTCTTCTTCTTTTCTTTATGAAGAAAAAGAACGAATGCCAAAACAGAAATGTTATTTAACATAACATGGGCAACAACATTACCATTTGCGGCACTGTTATGAACACCGAGCGATATTTCATGCCCGCCCAAAGAAATGCCATTATATGTTATTTACCACTATTGTAAAATCAAAATAGAAAAAATTTTGTGATGTAATTCAATGCAAGTATATGAAATGTAAAAATTTATATTCAAATGGCATTGGGAATTCACATTCTTGAATTCAGGAGCAGCAGTAATATTCCAATATGTTTCACTATAGAAAATTTTATCCATCAGAAAGAAACTAGTTCAGTTCTCAACTGGTGCTGTGAAATGAAACATTATCTATCGATACAAGCAAATCGACTGCGGCGAGGCTATCGATATCGCCAAAAACTTTAAATTCAAATTTCCTCAGAAGTAAATCTAATGGAAGAGTTTGACTTTTAGTATAAAAAGAATACACTAAAATTGTTTTTCAAAATAATAATTATTACCTGTCCAAATATGAATTTTCTTGAGTAGCTAAAACGCGTAAAACGCACTTAGTTTTGAATATCATTTTATTTCTCTTTGAAGTATTTTTGATCCGATTCTTTTTAAATATTGTATATGTATCTATATATATTTAGAGTATATCTAAGCGCTTTCAGACGCACAGATTTTATAGAAGTTACAGAAATATAGTATTTATATTTATATATAAATATATGTTTTGAATGCACATTGTCTTTGTCTGTTATTTAGGGGGAGATATTTTGTTTGGTAAAAGGTTTTGTTTTGCACATCTATATATAATGTGTATGCCAACTTTATATGTTATATGACCCGCCCTAATGTTGATCCGAAGCTATATATATGAAATGAATATTTATTTGTTTTTTTTTTTTCGTGTAATTGTGTTTTTATGTGTGTATTTTTACGTATAAAAGTAGTTTAAAATCCATAAAATATCTGATAATAATTACAATTTGTTTTTGTGTATAAGTATGTGTTTAAAAAGCGTTTGCCACCTGTTTATATTTATTTTTACCTTGCATTGTTCAACGTAATAATAATAAGTTTTAGTCTTTCGCAACTATATATATATATTTTTTTTTATTTTTCTTTTTTTCTATTGAGAAGTCGTTAATAATATCTTTGGGCTTTGCTACTGTTTAAATTGATGCCAAGTAGTACACATAGATCAATATATAGGTATTACGAGTACTAAAAAGACGAAGAAAATGTTAAACGTTTTAGATTGAGTTTTCCTGCTTAGAACGGACATCGCATGACATAAAATAATATATATATATATATGTGTATATCTAGTATAGG